AGAGCTGGGCCGCTCGGTTCACATAAATGGGTTTGAATCCAGGTTCTACCATCCCTGGCTCTGGGCCTTCGGCAATTCATCCTGCCAAGCCTCCATTTCCTCATTTGCAAAATAGATATGCTTCACAAGACTGCTGTGAGGATTAAGTAAAATAACGCAGTCAGCTTCAGAGCAAGCACTCGATAAAAGACAGTCATTTTTCCTTTTGTTTATGGAAATATCTGTGGCTAAGAAATCAAGAAAAGATCAGTCTAACTTCCAATTCTGCCAATTCTTGGGAAAGAAAACTAATGTGGTTTAGCACCTTCTCTGTTTCAGATACTGTGCTGGTTCTTTCTGTACTTAATTTCTTTATAACCTGAGAATATAACCCTGAAATAGGTATCATTATTCCCATTATAAGAAAATTAAGTTCAGAGAGATTAAGTAATTAATCAAGGTTATACAGTTGTCAGGAGATTGGACTGAGAATTTAGCCCAAAATGTCTGAATCTAGTTCCTTGCTCCAAAAACCATCAATCCGAGTAAGCCAGGCTGCCTGGGAGAGGCAGAGGAAGAGAGTGGAGGGTAAAGAGTAGAGGTGGTTGAAGGTTGGGTAAGGTGACCAATTCATTACAGTTCTATTTCCAATTCCCAAAGCTGTTTCCCCAGCTTTACTGGAGGTTATTATTGGAATACAGTATAGTAAGAGCTGATATCCTCCTCTCATTTAGTTAAAATGATCCCAGTTCTAAATAATCCTAAAATTTATATGGAACCACAAAACACCCAGAATTGCCAAAGCAATCCTGAGGAAAAAGAACAAAGCTGGAAGCATAACCCTCCCAGACTTCAGACAATACTATAAAGCTGCGGTAATCAAAACAGAGAGGTACTGGCACAAAAACAGACATATGGATCAGTGGAACATAATAGAGAGCCCAGAAACCCACGCACCTACGGTCAATTAATCTTTGACAAAGGAGGCAAGAATATACAATGGAGAAAAGACAGTCTCTTCAGCAAGTGGTGCTGGGAAAGCTGGACAGCCACATGTAAATCAATGAAGTTAGAACATACCCTCTCACCAAACACAAAAGTAAAAAGTGGCTTAAATACTTAAATATAAGACATGACACCACAAAACTCCTAGAAGAGAACATAGGCAAAACATTCTCTGGCATAAATCGCAGCAATGTTTTCTTAGGTCAGTATCCCAAGGCAACAGAAATAAAAACAAAAGTAAACAAATGGGTCCTAATCATACTTATAAGCTTTTTCACAGCAAAGGAAACCATATAAGAAACAAAAAGGCAACCTATGGACTGGGAGAAAATATTTGCAAACGATGCAACAAACGGCTTAATTTCCAAAATACACAGACAGCTCATATAACTCAATAAGAAAAAACAAACAACCCAATCAAAAAATGGTCAGAAGACCTGAATAGATATTTCTCCAAAAAAGACATACAGATGGCCAATAGGTACATGTAAAGATATTCAACATTGCAAATTATTTAGAAAAAAGCAAATAAAAACTACAGTGAGGTATCACCTCACACCAGTCAGAATGGCCATCATCAAAAAGTCTACAAATAATAAAGGCTGGAGAGGGTGTGGAGAAAAGGGAACCCTCATACACTGTTGGTGGGAATGTAAATTGGTGTAGCCACTATGAAGAACAGTATGGAGGTTCCTCAAAAAAACAAAAATAGAGTTGCCATATGATCCAGCAATCCCACGCCTGGGCATATATCTAGAGAAAACTGTAATTTGAAAAGATACATGTACCCCAATGTTCACTGCAGCACTATTTATGACAGCCAAGACATGGAAACAACCTAAATGTCCATTGACAGATGAATGGATAAAGAAGATGTGGTGTGTGTGTGTGTGTGTGTATATATATATATATATATATATATACACACACACACACACATATACATAGAATGGACTACTACTCAGCCATAAAAAAGAATGAAATAATGCCATTTGTAGCAACATGCACGGATCTAGAGATTATCATACTAAGTGAAGTCAGAGAAAAACAAATCTGGTATCACTTATATGTAAAATCTAAAAAATGATACAAATGAACTTATTTACAAAACAGCAACAGACTCACAGACACAGAAAACAAACTTATGATTACCAAAGGGGAAGGGGGCGAGGGATAAATTAGCAGTTTGGGATTAGCAGATACAAACTACTATATATAAAATAAACAACAAGGTCCTGCTCTATAGCACAGGGAACTATATTCAAGATATTCAATACCTTGTAATAAACTATAAATTTTTTTCTTTGTGTCTCATCTAAATTCTTTCTCTCTCTCTCTCCCTTTCCTTTCTTAGAGTATCTAGAACAGGCATACCAGTCAAATAACTGGAAAACTTATCTGGGGGAAAGGGGAGGGAAGACAAGGAACTTGTGTCCTTAAGGGTAGGAAGGGACCAGGTCTTTTCCTTTCAGTTGGGTGCATTCGCGCAGCCTTATGTATATCAATACTTAAAATTATTAATCTGAAACTGCCTTGCTTCTTTGCTCGTTTAATATCTCCTCAAAAGTCAAAAGCACAGAATTATTAGTCCTAGGAAAGCAGCTGTGACTATGGATCTTTCTATTCTGTCCAAAACCACCTAGGAATAACAACAATCATAGTATATCCTACATTTAAGGGGATCAGGTAAGAAAATTAAGAGATGATAACCACCACCACCACCACCACCATCATGATCATCATCATCATCATCATTTAATTTAGCTTGATATCCTGAGAAACTTTTCCAGGATACCATGAATCCTGGTTTGAAGTATAATAAAGCATTCATAGGCAGATTATTTCTAAAGTTTAAAGCAGGGCTTCCCTGGTGGCGCAGTGGTTAAGAATCCGCCTGCCAATGCAGGGCACATGGGTTCGAGCCCTGGTCCGGGAAGATCCCACGTGCCACAGAGCAACTAAGCCCGCGTGTCACAACTACTGAAGCCCACACGCCTAGAGCCCGTGCTCCGCAACGAGAAGCCACCGCAATGAGAAGCCCACGCACCACAACAAAGAGTAGCTCCCGCTCGCCGCAACTAAAGAAAGCCCGTGCACAGCAACGAAGACCCAACGCAGCCAAAAATAAATTAATTTTTAAAAATAAATAAATAAAATAAAGTTTAGAGCAGTAATTATGGAAGTTTCAATCTCACCCACTAAACCCATGAGAAGGCTTTTTCCAGTGTAGTTGCCTATACACAAACACTCATACACAATTCCAGGCTAAGAAATCTGGGCTGTAATTGAGGCAGTTAAAGCATTGAGGTATTGCCCCCTAGATTCAAGCTCATGGATTAATATGATGAAATATTTCTTACATCCTTTTCATTTCCCATTTACATTCACACTCCATTTACGTCTCTCTCTCTCTATGTGTGTGTGTGTGTATATATACATATATATATATATATATATATATATATATATGTATATATACCATTAAGGAAGCACACAGGTCAAGTTGGTCAGGTTTAATGATTCCGTGGTTATTGTTATTATCATTTGAACACATCACTTCTGTTCTGCTAAGTCTGCTTACTGTAAACAGTCCAGGTCACCCAGCCTCCCAATCAGAACATTTAATCACAGTCTCTGCACCCCCAAACCCTCACAAAACAGACTACTATGATGAAATAACAGAAAGATACATATCAGCCCAGTCAGTGGCAAAGCACTGGTCTTTAGGATCCAAAGATCTTTACAACCAGCAAGAGCAGATGGGGGAAAGCAAAGAATAGGGAAGTGATACTGTTTGAACCCAACTTTTCTGAGCTCCTCCTTTAGTAGTAACATGTGTGGGAAGACGACGCTTTCGGACTGAAACTCTATGACCTCCCTAAGTGAGTGGGCAAAGCACTCTGGTGACAGTAATGGATGAACACCCTGGCTGCAGGGACGTGGAGATTTAGCCAGAATGCTATCCACGGAGCAGCAAGTACCCCAGCCCAGCCTCAGCTGAATTCCCACCACTTTCCTGTGAGGGTCATAGCATCCTTCTGGAATCCTCTGCAGCAGATCTTCTTCCTCTTCCCTGCCCCTACAGAGGCAGAAACAGCTTGGCGGGGGGAGGGTGTAAATCTCTGAGCTAACTCCTTATATCCAGGCAGGATCAGAGCTTCCTGATCAGACCCCTCTCTGTAAGAAGGCAGAATTTTTTTCTTAATGCAAGTTCAACATTGAGGGAAAGCTAGCAAAGTCATTCACTCACAATCTCAGGCCAACCCTGGGCAGACAGGTTAAGGCAGGGACAAATGTGAGAGGTCCAGAACCCTATCCAGGCCAAAAGCAGGTCACTCAGGAAATCCCTAAGATCCAAGTGGTGCTCAGAGTTCTCTCTAGGATGGTCACAAGTGGTGTGTTTTGTCCAGATTGATTAGGTCATACCTAGCCCTAAGTATTCCAAGCTTCCCAGTTCCAAGATGAACTTCCCAAGTTCACTATTCCTTGGCCGTTTGGACTAGGGGACAATCTGTCACTATTTCAAACTTCCTGGTCCCTCTCCAGCCTGAATTTCTGTCCCCAGAGAACTGGGGCAGCAGTTGACCAGACTCAAGATTTTGATGAGATGGAGTAAATAGCTGGTCCTTGTGCATGTTTAGAAATTAACTGAACTCCCTTTGGAGTCATATGTACTCCTAGCTCTGCACTAGGAGTATGATATTAAAACCAAAAACACCTCATTTTAAAAGACTCTCACTTCTCCAACTTTTGCACCTGAGTCCTAACCTCTCCCCCCGCTTCCCCTCACACACACCACCAGAAGATGCTGTCCCAACACTTTCAGTACCTCTAGGGCCCAAGGATAAAATGGCATTAATGGCATTTGGCAGAAAATCCCAACCCACATTGAGGATTCCTCCCATGTCAATACAGTGAAGAAATAAATGATAACGTAAGAGAAGAGGCAGGAGAAACCAGAGCCTGCCCCTTCTCACAGAAGAGGCACAGAAAATTGAGGAGTTAGTGAAAATGGCATCATCTCTTGCCAGAAGGCCACCAACTACCACCGGCTGGGAGCCGCATGATCACTTGTTTCTCCTCCGGACTGAAGTGCAAGATGGTGAGGATGGCGGTGAGCGTCTGCTGGCGGCCCACGGTGTCCGGCAAGGTCAGGAAGCGGTAGATGATGTTCTTGAGGTACTCCAGGTTGGCTCCCTCCCGACTCTGGTCCCTGATGTTCTTTGCAATGTGGCTCTGCAGGGCTCCCACCTCCTCCCGATGCCGCTCCCCCTCCTCCAGCAGCCGATCCTGCAGCTGATGCACCTCCCCCTCCAGCTTGTGCTTCTGCTTCCTCAGTGACGTGATCTCCACCTCCTTGCGGGCCAACTGCTCGGCGTAAAGGAAGAAAGTGGGCTCGTTGGCCGCAGCTAGCTGCAGGGCTTGGGTCAGGCTGTCCGGAGCAGATGTGTCCGCCGGATCACCGGGGCCCACACTGCCCACAGGGCTTCTGCGTCCCGGCAGCCCAGAGGACAAGGCCACGGAACGCAGCTGCTCCAGCTCCAGGTCCTTCTCGGCCAGCACAGCCAGGGCCCGATCCCGCTGCTTGTGCAGCTCCTCCTCCAGTTTCAGCGTGCGGTCCCTGAAGTCCAGCTGGCTCCGCTCCAGTTCCTGCCGGTGGATGTGCTGCAGCCGGGCCAGCTCCTGCTTCCAGCCCTCAGCCTCCTGCTGGTGCTGGCAGTCGAGCTCCTCGCAGGACAGCCGCAGCGAGATGTACTTCTCCTTCAGCTCCGCCAGCTGCTCCCGGGCTTCCTCCAGCTCCTTGCCCAGGTTCCCGTCTTTGACGTTCTTGCTCTTGAGGACGACCTGGGCCCGCATCTTGTACCTCTCAAACTCCTCCTTCAGCTGTTTCAGCTCCTGCTGGTAGTAGAGCGCGCTGGCCTTCTCCCCGTCGGCAGCCTCTGAGCTGGGCATTATCTCCAGGTTGCAGAGCTTCTCCACGTCCAAGGTCACCTGGCTCTTCCTGGCCGCAACCTGAAGCAGCCTCTTCAGCTTCTCCATCTTGTCCTTCAGGACATTGACATCCAGACTGGACTCCTCTCCATGGCTGTCCAGAGAGGACCGGCTAGAGGCCGCTAGCGCCAGTGTCTTGTTCTCCAGGTCCAGCTGAAGAATGCGCTCCTTCAGCTTCTGGATGGCCAGCTGGTCCTTCTGCTTGGCTTTCTCATAGGTGCCCAGCAGTTCCGACACCTCAGATATTTGATTCTCCAGGGCCGCCACCCTCTGCTCTTCCAACTGCGACTGCTGTCGTAGCTGATCTTCGGCGAGGGCTGTCTGGAAAACAAGGGAACAGGTGGAGATGCATCCAGAAAAGCCACAAGGCCCGATGGCAAACTTTGAGAAAGCAAGAGAGGGGAGCAAAAGGGTTACGGGATGGAGGTGGCCTGGCAAAAATGGGAACTGGGAATTTTTCTGTTCCTTTGGGAGCTAACCCAAGCTCCTGTAACGTGCTCCCAGACACACACTATACCAAACAACATTAAGAACCTTTGTAGATCTGCTGTTGTTCTGCTTTAGTGTTTCTGCTCTCTGTTCTCATACGCCAACCTCACATGTGAAGTGTGCTCTTAACCATATGACATTCTTTTCCTCTTCCAATATTCCTGGAAGTTCAAAATTGACTTGGATCTCTCCCCACACTGAAAGGTGGCACTGTAAAATAGCACACCTTTCCACACAAGGCAAATGTTGACTGCAAGCAATACAACAGGTTATTTCTTCTGAGAAAATTCCCTTTGCCCCCTTCAGCCACCCTACCTATAGGAATACACTGCTACCTATATATAGGCATATTCCTACAAGCATACGCTCCACCCTTCACTGCACAGCCGCCACTACACTGCTTCACAGAGCACAGCTGGGAAGATGCCAATGCCCAGATGCTCAGAGCTGTCTAGCTCCAACCCGGCCTACACTCAGAAACTCCACATCCTATTGGAAGCACACTCTGTGGATACTGTCAACACCACACAGAAAAGGATTTCCCAAGACTCACAAACGAAACTTTTTGAATAGCATCAAAAATCGACAGTGCAGGGCTTCCCTGGTGGCACAGTGGTTAAGAACCTGCCTGCCAATGCAGGGGACACGGGTTCAAGCCCTGGTCCGGGAAGATCCCGCATGCCGCAGAGCAACTAAGCCCGTGAGCCACAACTACTGAAGCCCGCGCACCTAGAGCCCATGCTTCACAACAAGAGAAGCCACCGCAATGAGAAGCCTGCGCACCGCAACGAAGAGTAGCCCCCCGCTCGCCGCAACTAGAGAAAGGCCGCGCACAGCAACAAAGACCCAATGCAACCAAAAATAAATAATAAATAAATAATTTTTTTAAAAAAATCGACAGTGCAGCCACTTAGTTCTAACTATCAAAGGAGAAAAAAAAAAAACCCTAATATTTCCCCACTTCAGGTTAAACGACTAATGTTTGAAGGAGATGAAGATAATTACCTTCCTCATTTCCTGCTGCAACTGAGCCTGGAAATGGCTTTTAAGGCAGACGGCCTCTTCCTGAAGCTCCTGCAGCCGGGGGTCAGGCCGATTCTTCTCATCTCGAAGAGCCTGCAGCTCACCTTTTAGCTCCTCTACCTCACAGGTCAGCTGCTTGGTTTGCAGTTCAAACCCTTCCATCTGACCGGCTGCATAGGCCCGCCCAGCCAGAGCTTCTCGGGTCTCTTCCAATCGAAGCTCCAAGTCCTGGCGCTGGGTCCTCTCCTCCTGCAGCAGCTTCTGGAGCTCACGCAGCATCAAGGCATGGTCACTCTGCTCTTGGGCCCGATCGTGCTGCTGCGTGATAAGTCGGGCTTTGGTTTCTGCTATCTGCTCCTGCAGCCCCTTCAGTTCTCCCTCCAGCCGGCCCCTCTCCTCCTCTGCTTTTTTACTGGCATTATCTAAGTCCTGTTTCATCTTCTTTTTGTCAGCCAGGTAAGAAGCTTCCATGCGGGACTTCTCCTGGGTGACTGTAGCCAAAGAGCTGGTCAAAGTGGCCAACTGAGTCTTCAGCTGGTGCAGTCGTTTGTCCACCTCCCCACTCCCAGACGGTCCATCCCCACTACTACTGCTAACGCCGCTCTCCGATCCACTGGCCTCTTCGGACTTTAGAGGTGGTGGTCCACGGGCCAGTCTGTTATCTTCTACCCCAAACTCACCCTTGGTGCTGGTGAGACTGGCTGCAGTATCTAAGCTTGTGGCGGTCCCGGTGCTATCCTCACTGTGAGTGGAGCATAGGTCATCCACAGAGTCAGGAAAGGTGAGGCCTTGAGGCTGGACACCTGCAAGGCCCACATCCGCCTCGTGGGATACCGACAGCACCTTAATGCTGGCCTCCAGCGCCTCTTTCTCTTTCAGCAGACTTTTATAGGCGCGGACTACATCCTTGAGACGTGCCTGGTACTGGAGGAGCTGCTTCTTCTGGGTCTCAATGGTCTCCAGGAGGTCCTTCTTGCTTGGGCCGCCCCCGAAATTCATCCCAAACTTCTCCATGAGGGTTCAGAACGAGTTGTTCCACGTCAGTATTCGGACAGCCTGGGAGAGGGTCACGAAGACGCTGGCGGGGAGAGAGTTGTCCCTAAGGCCGCACACCCGCTCCTCACAGCTATTCGAGACCGGATGCAGGGCAGCGGGGCAACCTGACAGAAGCGCCCGCCAGGTCCCAGGCAGCAGGGCAGGGGCGGGTCCTATCCTAGAGGCGGGGCGACGCTGGCACGAGAGGAGCACAGTGCCAGGGCTCGCCCGCACGGTCCCAAAAGCCGCTCCGCGCTCCCCGCTCGCCCGGGCCACAGCAGCACCGGCCGGCCCCCGGGCCAAAGCTTTAAGCTCAGCGCAGCCCCATTCCGACTTCCTAACTCTAGCGGCTAGACAACCGCGCTTCCGGGGCCGCTGGAAGTGACGACAGCACGACGCCTCAGGCCCCGCCCCCCGTGGGCGCAAGGTGGGCGGGGCTACTTCAGTCGAAGGGTGGGAAGCTTCCTGTTGCGACCCCAGCTGGGCCACGAGTCGGTCACTGTCCAACAGAGCGCTGGTCACTCTCCACCAGAGCAGAACAAGCAAAGTCGAGTACACGGAAGTAATGCTGGTTTGGTGAGGGCGCCTGATCTTGCCCTAGCGCTACGATCAGCGAGGGACGGGGGTGACGTCGCACTGTGTCCTTACCAAAGACCGAGGTGAGCGACACGACCCCACTGTTTGGGGGCTCAGTGCATTTGTCCCTGAAGAGCAACAATGAAGACTCCCTTTCGGACCACGAAAATGACAACCGTTTCTAGGACAGTATTTGGCACCTAGCAGGTGTACAATATAGTTATTAGCACCCTTCCTGAGTTCTGCTGAGTTCATTAAACAAATATATGTAGATGAATATATATAGCCATGATGTCCATCCTAAGTGCCAACTATATTTCAGAAGCTTCACAGGAGTTTTGCTATTCAGTCTTTACAATAATTCTGCTGAGTGGGTATTATTAGCACTATTTTACAGATAGGGAAACATGAGGCACAGAGAAGCTAAGTAACACGCCCAAGGTCACACAGCCAGTAAGTTTAGAATCCTATCTGGATCAGTCCGAGTATCAACATAACCAAACGCTGTGCCAGATGATCACCATGAAGAGACAAGGTCCTGCCCTCAAGGAGACCACATCTAGAGAGGAAGCAGACATGCAAACAGGAGTATATTCAGAGTGGTACAGAAGTTAAGAGGAGGGAGGCCTGTCTAGGGGAGACAGAGAAGGCTCTCAGTGGAAATACTTTGGGATTTGAAGGATGAGTACTGATTGCCCATCTAACTAGAGATGAGGGAAACAAACATTCCAGGCAGAGGGGAAAAAATGCAAGGACTCCTGGGGCATCAGAGAGCCTGGCTTACCCGGGAAGCAATGAGAATCATTTCAAGGCAGTAGCTTAGGGTATGCGAAGGAGGTGGCAACAGATGGGGCTGACACAATAGATGACGACCAAATTAAGGCATTTGGATTGTATCTTGGGTGATAAGACACTAAAGGATTTTCATCGCAAGAGTGGCATCATCACGTCTTGTATGACAAGGTGAAGATACCAAGGTGCAGAAGGCCATTTTCATTCATGGGGATCAGATGGTAGTGAAAAAGAGCAGTGACAACAGGGATGGAAAGAAAAAGGCTAATTGAAAGAGCTAAAGATGACTTGGTCACCACTAGTTGTGTTATTATATTGGAACTCTTTTAAATGTGCTCTTCAACATTGTAAAAACCTTCTTAAGAATGCAAGTCTATGACTGAAGAGTAAAAAAGTCATGTATTCACTCATACCTGGTGCCCAGAGTCTGTTCTCCTTACAGACTGAGGGTCAGGATAGGGCAGACACTAGAAGTCTGTTCAGACCCAGATTCTTGGTGGCCCAGATAACATCATCTGCATCACACAAAACATTCAGATACATTATCTTATCATTTTAATCTTCACCATAACCTCATGAGACAGGACAGATATTAGTCTCCCTTTATAGATGAGAAAATGATAGGCTGTGAATATTGTTGAAGTCAAGCCGCCACCCCCCCAAAAAAAGGCAGAACTGAGAATTGAACTGAGGCCTGGAACGATGGCACAAAGTGGGTACTCAGTAAATATTTGTGGAAGGGAGCGAGGGAAGGAGGGAGGGAGGAAGGAACTTTCTCTGATTCTCAGCTCACTTCACCATGTCCAGTCCATAAGCAACTGATCCTAGAAGCCCACTGCAAATCCAGAATAGGCAAAACGCCTGCCCTTGCTCCACTGAGCAACCAATTAGTCCATTCAACCCAGCCAGCATTTGTTAAGCATATATTAGGTGCCTGGCATTGACCCAGTCTCTGCCATAGAAGAAATTTAAATTAATTCCTATCTTGCTATTTCGCCTCAGATGCTAAGATGAGTGGGGAAATAACTTATGAAGCTCTTTGGCAAGAGCCTCACAAAATCCTAGATAGCTAGCTGTGCACTGAAAATCCAGGTTCTCAGGTCTGTGGCAGAGTGGGGAGGGAACTTTAGAAAGGCTGCCCTCTTCGACTGAAAGGCATTGTTTCCAGGGCCATCAAGGCGAAGGCAGAGTTCTCCAGTATACAGGAGTAGGGTCTACTACCCCGCCGCCAGAACTGGGGATCTTCCACTGTTTCTGCTGATTGGGGATCTATGAAGGTGGCGTTTGAAGGAACCATGAAGTGCATCTTATTCCACCTCTGGCGTACTCCTCTCCAGATTCTACGGTCACTGAACCACCTGCTACGTTCAGAGTCCCTCGCTGGGAGCTGGGAGGACAAAAGGGAGGATTAAGACACTTACACAGAACTTCCGCTCCCCCGGGGAGGAGGCTGGAGGTCACCAAGAGCTAAACCGGAGCCCAGAGTGCGTTAGACGCAACAAACCAAGGCCCAGAGACCGGCCACTGAAGATGGGGGTGGAGGACCGTTATGGAGCGTTGTAGGCTTTCCTCGGCCCTGCCCGGGTTGCCGGTTCAGCGCCATAGACCTGACAGGCGCGCGAGGAACTGGGGGAGACCCAGGCCCTTTCCATCTTTAAAGCTGGCGCGGGACCGGGGGAGGATGCGGAGGCTCGCTCAACCTCAGTGTCTTCCTGAGCCACAGTCTGGAGGCGGGGCGGGGGGCGGGGCCAGGGCGGGGGACGGCCCGAGGTGACGTAGGGCCGGCCGGGACGCGCGGAGGCCGCGGCGGCGCCTCCTCCTTCTGCTGCTGCTGGGCCCCATCCCCCAGCGGCCGGTTCCAGCCCGCACCCCGCGTCCGTGCCCTCACCCCCTCCCCCGGGCCCCGCCATGGGCCTCACCGTGTCCGCGCTCTTTTCGCGGATCTTTGGGAAGAAGCAGATGCGGATCCTCATGGGTGAGGCAGATCAAGCGCGCGGCCCGGACTGGAGCGCCAGCCCCCGCGCAGCCCTCTCGCCCCCGCGTCCCTCCAGCCCAGCTCACCCCGGTCTCTGACCCCGAGTCACCCACCTCCTAACCCCCTGGGGCCGCTACTCTCGGGTGGGTCACGGTCTGTAGCACTGTTCCCGGGGCCTGAGACTGAGAGCTGCGGGCCTGGGTGGGGTGAAGCTCCTTTCGCCCCAGCCCGGCTGGTAAGAAGGGAGGATTCCGCCCTTGGAGACGACTTTTAAAAGGAGCGCGGCCTTTCTCTTACGCCTCTTTCCCCTCAATCCTCTGCCGCCCCTCCCCCGCTTTGGGGGCAGGAGTTGGCGCTCCCCACCCTACTGCACTCAAGGCCCCGAAGGTAGATAACAGCGCGCACCTGGAGGCCCTCGGGCTCTCCGCCCCCGTCACCGTCAGCTGTCCTGGCCTCTCCCCTTCCCTGGGCTCTAGGGGGCTCCCTCGCTCCCATCTCCATCCCTGTGCCCCTCTCCGTTGCAGTTGGCTTGGATGCAGCCGGCAAGACCACAATCCTGTACAAACTGAAGTTGGGGGAGATTGTCACCACCATCCCCACCATAGGTGAGTCCGGAGGCGCGACCGGGAGGAGCGGGAGCGCGGCGGCGGCCCTTCTGAGGATCTGCTCTGCATTCTGCCCCAGGCCCTTATTTCTGTGCAGGGAGCTGACCCTGACATCAGATACTGCTACCTGAGAAGTGGGTCAGGGTATCTTTACGTGCAAGATGAGGCGGGATGGATGTGACCTAGCCCGGCCCCATCTGTGGGCTAGCTGGTCCTCTGGGGTTCTTCTCCCCTGGGCCTTGATCGCTGCCTTCTAGTTTTATATCCCTGCTGAATCCACTTAGTTTCAGTGAGTTCCTTCCTTTCGGGATTTTTTCCTCGTATTTTTACCGATTATCTGCAGGCTTCAACGTGGAAACAGTGGAATACAAGAACATCTGTTTCACAGTGTGGGACGTGGGAGGCCAGGACAAGATTCGGCCTCTGTGGCGGCACTACTTCCAGAACACTCAGGTTGGGGCTCCCCAACCCCAGGGGAAGAGGGTTAAGGTTAGAAAGACTGAGATGTTGGCCCAGGCCAGGAAAAAACCCTTACCTCCTTCTACCCTCATTTGTAGGCTAGCCTCTCCTCATCCTTCAGAACTGGCCTCAGACTTCTGAGACTTAGCCACTGTAAGCGTCTCCTGAGAAGCAGAATTCTGAAACCACACTGCCTGATTTAGCTCTCATCACATGTCTTTCCCTGTTCCCTTGCACATCTTTTAGCTAGACTGCTTGCCTGAGGGCAGAGGCTGTATCCTTTGCTGGGTGTCTCCAGTTTGCGCAAGGACATCTGCAAAGCCGTAGTGGAAGTTTACTAGATGAGAAGGGTTTAGACACAATTAGACGTGGGCAGAAGAGAGAAAGAGCCAGACTAGGGTGTATGTGTCCCAGGCTCGAGTGATTGCTCCTCCTTTCTTCTTCCCACCCAGGGCCTCATCTTCGTGGTGGACAGTAATGACCGAGAGCGGGTCCAGGAATCTGCTGATGAACTCCAGAAGATGGTGAGCACCCAGAGCCCTGGGACAGGGAGATCCTCTGTGCTGGTGTGAGAATCAGGAGATGCCTCACAGGCCTTGAATGTGTGATTCTCTTTGTGGACACAGTCACAAGCAGTAGCTCACCCTGTTTTGAATTGGGGTCCGGTAAAAAGCATAGGACTTACTTTTTCCTTGCACTGTCTCCTGTCTTCACAACTGACTCTGAGAAGTTGGTGGGGAGGGGGGGAGTTCTACGTGGTGGAGAGAAACATCATCTTACGTTCTTATTTTTCCATTTGGAAATTTTGTCATTTTGACTG